CTTTCGTACAATACAGCACTCTACATAGCATATCGGTTAATGATAAGACTTTTTTTAATCTGCGGACCAAGCTCAGAAAGTAATTAACAATCAATAGTGATATTAGACAATACCTGTTAGTGCTTTTCACGTGTGTGTGTGTGTGTGTGTAATACTTCCTAATTTGGAAGTTGTTTTCTATCTGGTTCGACGTGACATTTTTGTATGGCAGAAAATTTGAGTCACGTGTTCTCGAATGAGTTCCACTTTGATGCGTTCACACAGCGCATTGAATGTACACTGATGTGATCAGCGAAACATCTTCCCCCATTCACGTTTCATATCGTAGCCAGGTTTGATTGTTCTGTCTTGTTTTTGCTCCGCGCGTGGGCGTTCGCCAAGTCAAGTCTGACCGATTGCAAAGCACTCTTCAGTTCAGATTGCCAGGCTTGGATTAGCTCATTCGATTGTTCAGAGGCAAAAAGCACTCTTGGGTGTGGGTTTCACTTCTTGGGAGATCGTTAATTCCCCACGAGATAAATGCATTCAAATGCGATTTAAACGTTTGTGATGACCGACGTAGAGCACTGGACAGCTGTTTCGTCCTGTTTAGGACTCGTCAGCAGTCCCTGTCAGGACTCGAATCGCGAACATTCGGGTCGGGACTTCAAACTCTTATCCCTGAGTCACGTGACATCCGAGTACACTTACCTCGTGGGGAATTAACGATCTCCCAAGTAGTGAAACCTACACCCAATACCATCAAGAGTACCTGGTGTCCTGAACAATCGAATGGGCTAATCCAAGCTTGATACTCTAAATGGATTGAGCCATTCTCTCAAGGTGATGACCGTGGACCGTGTAGCTCAGGGGTAAGGGTTTGAAGTCCCAACTCACAGGTTGGCTGTTGCAGTCCTGAGATGAGAACACAAAAGGTACGTGCACTACTGACGAGTCCCAAACAGGACGAAACAGCTCTCGGTTATCACTAACATTTCCATCGTATTTAAACACATTTCAGTTCACTTATTCCGGCCGCTTGCAGGTACACTTTTATGGGACAGTTTCGTTTGTGCTCTTTTGAGTTCTCATTTGTTAGGCTCTAAAGCTCGTTGGCCAGCAAATTACTTATCCAACCGAGACAGTTGCGTACCAAACGATATTTGTACAGCAGAATAGATGACCGCACTTACGTGCAACGCTTATGCCGAACCAAAACATCTGCCCATTCCACAAGCCATTGAGAGTGGATTACGGTCTCGGTCGCATAGGATTTGAAATGAACTGGGATGCTCATCTGCCGGTAACGGTATTTGTCGTTTCAAAG